CGGCTCGGACAGTCTTGTTGATATTGATGTGATGCTAAAGGAGTTGCCTCGCCATACCATCGCGAAGGAAATACCGCACTACGAGCACTTGGACTTTCTTTGGGCGCAATCAGTCGACGAACTCGTTTTCCCCCATGTGTTCGAAGCTTTAGATGAGTTTGCAGGTACAGACAATGGAGCCTTGGAGGGCCAGAAAGAGAAGCGATGGCGATCACCAGGCCGATATCGTGGTCTTCTGCCCGAGTCTGGTGCGCTTCTTGGATCAGAAGGCGACGATGCGGGTAATGAAAGCGCGACTAGCCCTGTAGCATTGCGATCCAGAAAGGTCTCGCAAAACACACGACGGCCACTCTCCATCGATGGTGCGGCTGATATGAATCGCTCTACGTCGCAGTCCAGCCCCGCATCTGCCTCGAAAATTCCGCACTTAGCTAGCTACAAGGCCCGTACGGAAGGCAAGCCGTCGCCATCTCGAAGTAAGGTGATGTCTCCACCACCTACTTTCAGAGTTCCAACCAATCCAGTCGACTCCCCAGGTGCCTCCCTAGACGCATCACAACTCACGAATCAGACTTCTACGTCCAGACCAGAAGGCTGGTGGTCTTCTGACGAGGTCGCTGGCACCGAGCATTCCCAGCCCTCTACTCCTAGTCGCGTCAATAAGAGTCCTAGACGGGCGAGCTTTGATAGCCATACGAGCATGAACTCATTAACGGGGAGGTTTGGCGAGAAAGGAATCAGACTAGGTGTAGGGAAAGCGGTTAGTGCATTGGCAGATGTGGAAGGCTATGGTGAGGGGACTAGGAGCAGTAAAGATGGAGACACTTTGCTTGTGGGAAATGTAGACGATAAAAAGCGGAAAAAAAGTGTGGGGAAGAAGAAGAGAGGTTCTGGTTTGCCTGTAGCAGCTTGATTCACATAGTCGGCTTAGCTTATCGTTTAAGATTAGCCTACTTAAGTAAACATAGACATAGATATCAGCCATGTTAGGACTCATGTACGGATCTTGTTTCAAGACACACTACGCACTTTCCTACATTCACTCAACTCAGCTATTTCTTGTTCAGCCCCACGACTGACCGAGGCTAGCTTAATGTAGCTTAGTACTGTGGCCATGATCACCGATGCCCAGTGCTGTTGGAAGTCGATTCTGGTTCCTCCCAGCCCTTACATCACTCTCACTCCGTTTACTACCGAAACTGTAGTTTTATTTGCGATGAATATATCCTTGGCGGAACTGCTCGCACATAGATGTGGTCATTGTGGGGATATGACAGGCTGGTCGATGCCACGAGAGACCTTCAAGCTTGGAGCCAAACAGGGCTGTTTGCTGTTTCAAATTGCAACTGCCTGTTTCGACTGGATTGCATCAAAGTTCAGACTTGATGTTGATCAAGAGAATGTGCGTTTCTCAAGTGATGGGTGGTGTCACACGAAGTGTATAGACGATACTGGTACTTTTGCCCTGGATTGCGAATGTCTATGGTCAACAGGTAAGTTCATGAATATTGGGCACAGTCTTGCTCCACGCATATTCTGATGATGCGAAAGACGGTCAAACAACGTTGACGACTCTGGACCAAGAAAGAGTGCTTGAAATGCTTCCTGGAAGTACTTCTTCCGTTGTTACATTTGAGACTTTGGAATCATGGCTTAACCTATGCCTTTCGAATCATACTCGCTGTGCTGGTGCCGTGTCAACCTGCCATGGAGGCGTCCGATTTCTGAAGATCTGCAATAGCTCAGTGGTTTTATTAGACAACGCCGAACCCATCCATTATGCTTGCCTCAGTCACTGTTGGGGTTCAGGAGAAAACATAGTGAAAACTACCGTTGACAACATACAAGAGCGTAAAAAGGGCGGTATCTCCATAGTGTCGTTACCAAGAACTTTCCAAGATGCGGTTCTTGTTTGTCAGACACTGAATATCGGATACATTTGGATTGATAGTCTTTGCATAATCCAAGACTGTCCTCAAGACTGGCAGAATCAGGCTTCCCGGATGGCAGAAATCTACGAGAGCGCTCACATCGTGATCGCTGCCGTAAAAGGCCAAGATCCATCGCAAGGTCTTTTCAGCGAAACACAACCGCTTTTTATCGGGGAACCCCTTCCTGGCTTCTCAAATCTTCGTATCCGACAAAAAAGTGGCTTTCCTGACCCAGAAGCAACGAATTACAAGCATCGAAATGACGATGGTTGGGCATTGTATAAACGTGCCTGGGCGTACCAAGAACTGAGTTTGGCGCCTCGGGTTCTCCACTTCGGCCCACAAGAGGTAACATGGCATTGCCGACATGTAGAAATTAGCGAAAGTAATCCAGGAGGAACCTCCACTGAATCACAACAACGAGGCATTGTATCTACAAGTTTAGATCGGAGAGCGACCAATTATCAGCGGGAGTGGTATTCTATCGTCTCGGGCTATTCGTGGCGAAATATCACTTTCCGTAAGGATTCACTACCCGCGATTTCTGCCTTTGTAAGTCGAATTCAAATGCACAAGCCCAATAAGAGTTACATAGCCGGGCTATGGACAGATACATTGCATTTCGACCTCTTGTGGAATATTTCATCAAAATATACGCAGTCGAATCTCCCAGAGGATACTTCAGTCATGCAGAGGAATACACCGACTTGGTCTTGGGCGTCACAGCCACGCCCTGTAGAATGGAATTTGACTTTAGACCCCTTTTACTGTCAAATTGTGGACTGTACCAAAATAGTGCAGACAACCTACGTCACAAATGGACCAGAAATACTCGGTGAGATTCAGGATGCCGCTATCGTCATCCAAGCGCCAACACTAAAAATCTGTAACATGCCATTTCTAGATCGTGCAACGTTCAACCCAGGGCCCGGGTTACACCAAAGGGCAATGGATGCCATTACAGCCCCAAAGCCGAATCTTGCCGATCATATGTACCAAACTGTAGCCTGCCAGTTCATAATGGACCAGAGCTATCTGAACGGAAACAATATCGAGCAGACCGCCAAACCTATTGCTATTCCGCTGATAAAGTCAAAAATGTCGAGTGATTCAATGCCAGTGCTTTTGCTTCTGGAAACGACGGAAAAGGGTAAATTTGAAAGAGTTGGGATTTGCTCTATTCATTTGTTTGGTCATTTCATATTGAGACATCTCTTTATGCTACCGCTGACCGTCGAGGAAAGAACAGATGTACTAAAGGCCGAAGAAGGGTACCACAAGCATTTCATCAACATGATTGAGGAAATGGAGACACAGTTCATTACTTTAGTTTAATGATGCTCATTTTACAAACTCAATCCAGTAGTAGAGCATCCTATTTCCGCTCCGCTCCTTGACATCTTCGTGGCGTACTAGAAGCCGTCGTTACCTTGAAGGATAAGCCGAATTAATAACATGACCAAAAAATTCAACTCAAGCATTTATCGCCCAATAGCATGGTGCACTCTCAAAGTTTCGCTAATCTCTCCAAGGTCTGTTTTGCCTCGTTCCTTACACTTTCCACGATAACCTTGGCGCTTTGCACATCCTTCACCATGCCTACGCCCGTACCAGCCCAGATTGCTGCCCTTCCACGCAAGCCTGTCTTGTAGCCCTTATCATCCTCTCCTACTGCCTCAATATGAAGCCTTTGAATCTCCTCTAGGCCGATGCCATTTACATAATCTTTGTGACTTTGGATCACCAAGCTGCGACCGTCGTACAATTCCGGCCATATATTTGGACCCCGCAGTTGGTCAAACAGTTTAGAACGTGTAGTAACTTGTCCTCCATCTTGCGCTTCAAGAACAGCAGCTTGGTAGTTTGGGTGGATGATGACTTCATCGGCAGCAAGGAAGCGTGTTCCCATTACTACGCCTTGTGCACCAAGCGAGAGAGCAGCAGCAACGCCTCGACCGTCGACAATGCCTCCAGAAGCAAGGAGTGGTATGTGCGAGAACCCTTCTTTTGCAAGCACATCCGATGCTTCAGGCAAGAGCGAGATGATGCCCGCGCCCTTTTCGAATCCGTGTCCGCCTGCATCTGCGCCCTGCATACACAACACATCTGGGGTGGCATTTTGAGCAACATGCAGAGCGGCAGCGACACTTCCGACCTGGACCCAGATCGCACTAGTTGAAGACACCTTCCGAATAGCGGATGCCCATTCCGTGTAGTCGTCCAATGATTTGGAGGCGAAGAGCCAAACGACGGCAGGTTTGAACTCTTCGATTACTGGTAAAACTTCTGGAAGGTTGAGCACAAAGGGCAACAGACCGACACCAACGGGCAGGACTTTCAACGATGAGAGGTTTGGGTCGGATTTGATGGCGCTGGATGCAATTTGCATCTCCTTACGAAGGTCTTCAACATTGAAGAGACCTCCAATCAAGCCTAAGCCTCCAGCGAGTGACACAGCTGAGGCCAAATTCCCGCCTGCAAACCCAGCCATTGGAGCGTTGACAATAATTGGGGACAAAGCCCATGGTAGCTGCTCACTGAGTGTCGGCATCTCAAAGTAGGTCAGGTAGATATAACGATCAATAGAACAGGTGATAGGTGCGTAGAGGATTCTCTATGCTTGACTGGTCTTCCGCTCACAATTTGAGTCGAGATGGTAGTCTTATACGGCTATGTACAACGCCCGTGAAGGCTGAGAGTAAGCAACGATGCTGATCTAGAATCCTTGCCAAACCGTGTCGCTTAGTAGACACCTGCTGACATCGCAACATGTAACGTTGTTTACTGAACCTTCGCCATTCATTAGACTATGCTGGCGGGTCATGGTCAGCTTACTTCAAGGTGTGCTGACTTTTCGTGCAAGGACCGAACTATGCTTCGTAAGATGACAATCAAAGCGTGTAGTGTAGTGGCGCACCAGACACTATCCATGTATATCACGCATAAAGGTTGATGTTCATCGCTTTGCACTAAGGCTCGCTTGATCTGTCTGTCCCACCTTTATCATTTCTTGGTCCTATTTTGATTAGAATCTATTATCATTAATCTCAAATTCCGACAAATCAAATCGGCTCGATGGTGTAGTTGGTTATCACGTTCGCCTCACATATCCGAGTGCGCGAAAGGTCGCGAGTTCGAGCCTCGCTTGAGTCAAGTTTTTTTGCCAATTTTTGCTGGTTCTTTGACCATCAGAGTCTATTCAATCTTTCTGTTGATGTATGTCTTTAAGAACATGAAGGTATGTGTGACCAAGCGTGCTCTTTGTTGTCCTAGTATGCGTTCTAGCCTTTATGTATTCAGCGTTTCTTTTGCATTCGTGCGACCACGGATAAACATCATTGTCATCGGCCTGATTTCCCTTTGATCCTTACAAACGTAATAATTTGAGTATTCAGGATACCAAAACGTCATCTGGCGTAAGAGATGATATTTTACAGGACATAGTGAATTAGGAGAACAGGAGGTGGATATAAGATAGTGCAGTCCAATCATGAAGCAGTGGCACTTGGGCGATTGTTGTGAAGAAGGAAACATCTCAATTCCTCATCAATCAACTTACCAGCTATAGCTTTTGCCAGTTTTTGCAAAATGGAACACATGCGTGCGAAGATATCAGATAAATCGAATGCGGTTTCAATGCGCGGGATCTATCAAGACTCACTTGTAAACGATCATCGATCTGTATCCGGAGATGGAAGTTATAGCAATATGATTCCTTTACTAGCTCCAGCAATTACTCTAAAGACAATGCAAACTTGCCTTCCAAAGGAACCCAATCTGACCACGTTCCTCCTTTTAAAACGTTACTGTACATGGCGTCTGCCGCTCCAATACCGAACACGTGAACTCCTTTGCTCTCTGTTGAGACAGCTACGGGCGCCGAATTAGACACTCCCCCGAAACTTTCCCACTCTTCCCAATTATTCCCGACCAGCCGGTTGTGCCAGATCGCACCGTTTCCAGCGCCGACGGCGAAAAGTTCAAGTCGATTCGGATCTGAGACTACGACAGCAGGCTCAGATTCCCACTGGCCGTTGAGAGAAATCCAATTTGACCACCGGTTGCTATTCCAAGACATATGATACATGGCATCGTCTGTACCCACGCCAAAGATATCCAGCCGGTTGGCTGCCCATGACGTGATGACTGGCGGACTCTTGAACATACCGCCTAGACGGTACCACGACCCCCAATTGCCTTGCCAATAGTTCTGATAGACTGCGTTGTCTGTCCCCAGTCCAATCATATCCAGTCGTCCGGGCCCCCAGGCTGTGACACTCGGCGGAGAATTGAACTTTCCCCCAAGAGCGTGCCATTCCGCATCCCATCTTAAACCCTCACCACCACCGTACGCTTTGTGGAACATAGAGCTATCTGTTCCTAGTCCAAAAACATCCAGTCGATTGATTCCCCAAGACACAACTGCGGGCGGGGAAGAAAACACACCACCTAGAGAAACCCATTGGGGACTCCAGACACCGTTGTCATAATGGCGCTCGTACATGGCGCCATCGGTCCCTATACCAAGAACATCAATGCGACCTTCACCCCAAGATACCGCGACAGGCGGGAAATTGAACACCCCACCGAGCGGTGTCCAGAGCTCATCGAAGCTTGTGCCTTGCCCATTTTTGAAGTAGCAGCCGTTTTCATTTCCGACACCGAAGATTGTTGCCTTGCCAGACGTCCATGTGATCGCAGAAAGCATGCGCACGCACATTGTACCGTGACAAACGCTCTCAGAGGATGATGAAGCAGTAGGGCTCGCGCGAGTTTTAGTGGCTGTAGTCAACGATGCGACCGGGGTGCCGGTGCCAGTAGGCATGCCTGCTGGATTTGAGGCACCTGGCATAACGGGTCCTGCGGCAGTGCCTGGAGAACTAAGGTGATGTCAGGACCTCTGTCTGAGAAGATCATAAACTAATCAACGTTGGAGAAACACGGGGATGGTATACCTCGATCCTGCTTTCTTCTTAGTACCCAGCGTGCCGCCCACCGCTCCTCCTACCGCAGCCGCAATCACAAGAAAAACCACTATTCCCAGTATCCACCATTTTCGATGACTTTTCTTGACAGGAGGGGCTTGCGCATACGCTTCAGGCTGGGCGAGATGTGCTTTGTCTTGACCGTAACCGTATTGCGGAGGGGGGGAGGGATATCCATACGGAGAAGGAACTTGACCTTGGCTCAAAGGGTGCTGGGCATAATGAGGGTATTGAGGCGCTCCTTCTGGTGGTTGTGGTGGTTGTGAAAAAGGAACGACCTCAGGACCATCGTGAGATCGGCGTAGTTCCATGACTCTAGTGAATCACGAGGCCGACCCAAAAGCTGGGGTTGCGGGGGGTTATAATCCCCCATTATTACGACAAGGCTGTGCGCTTTGGGCTATGTTATGGCTTTTACCTGTGTGCCAATAATGAATCGAGAATAAGTGCAGGTTTGGGAGGGTTCAAAAGGAAAGCTTGGCAAACACGCCCTGGGGCCATAAGCTGGAGTGAAATGGGTCTAATTGGTACGCCTGTAAGCCTGGAGCGAGAATGGCTTCGGGGGGCGTATTCGCGTAGGAATCGTCCAGTCAGTTGGCTGCGCAGCTTGTCAGCCATAAAAGCCACAAGATAAGGCACGTCCCATTCTCCTCGCATTCATGGGCGATTCTGGCAATGTTACCACACAACCTTCGTGTCGTTAGACAGAGCACTAAAGTTTATGTGACTCGAACCACCATCTTAAGGTATCCCGTTGGTGATTCTCACACTCGCTACCACATTACTGTAAAAAGCATGATACGAGAGGAAACGCTAGCAGGCCTCAAAACAAATGCAATATATGATTGTAGACCAGACTATGCTGTGGGTATCAAACCATGCTAACGAGAAACATAGACCAATAGCAGAGACTATGAGCATCTGAGGTGGCAAGGCGGCAGTAGAGACGAACCTTAATCACCTTCTATGAACTATACGCGACAACTTACACATGGCCGGAAGACGATCTTCCGGCATCTAATCCACGTAGAGTGTTTTGCGCATTACGCGCCTCGCGGACTGTTCGAGGGACCCTTATTGACAAGGCCAGAGAAAAATGACCGAAGCTTCTCGTTGTCCATAATATTAGAATCTTGCGCCTTAGGAGTAGGTGTCTCAGGGTCATTTGTTCGGCTTGCTTCGCGATCCTAGGGTGCCGTTAGTATCATCATACATTGATCCTTTTTCAACTACGGTCTCCGAGAAAGAAAGGTTGGTCACGAACCTGCAGACGCTTCACCATCTCATCAGCATTTACCTGAATACCACCCATATTAAATTGAACAGGCCCAATATGCTCCTCAACAACACCTGAAGCCTCATCCGCCCAAACCCTAGATGCTGAAGGGTCTTGCTCTTTGCGTGCCGCTTTGATTGCTGCCTCATTCGCATCTTCTTGCCGTAGTTGCTCGAGGATACCGACCTGATCAGTAAGGAATGCTTGGGGGTCTTTGCTGGTCACCTCAATGCCGTTGGTCTGTTTTGAGAGGCTTGATAACGGGTAGTCAGACTCAGGATTGCGTATGGTTTCTTCGTAAATCGATGTCACGGACGGTCCGTCCCGTTCTTCTTCTTCTTCTACTACTACTACTTCTGCTGTTGGCACTGGGCTACCGTTCGTTTGAGCCTCACCGTCCGCAGGCACTGACAGATCCCCAGGTGTTGGTCGCATGTGTCGAGGAATGTCGATGTCGACACTCCATTTCTCGCTGATTCCCTCAACGTCGAACCCTTCTCGCAAGATTCGTATCTTCGCCCAGGAATCCCAGTTTGGTGGTACAAGAACTCGATCGCGGTCGGTTACGTTGTGCCGCAGCTGCTCCTGCTTCAGTAATGATTTGATTCCCAGAGCTGAGTGGATCAGTGTGCGCAATGACCCGGGCGCAGTTGGCATGGTATACACTAAGCTCGAACCGTGTTTGAGAAGGATTGTGCGCAGGTACTGGAGTATAAAGTCGAATTCCTCCTCTTTCCAACCCCGTTCTTTCTCTAGGGTTTCAATCTTGTCTGCATTCTGACATACCACGCAAAGAGGTATGCCCAGCGGCTCATCCCACTCTCCCGGTCCTAGCGGTATCTTCACATTTTCCATACTGCTCCCCTCAGTCACAATGTTGCGCCCTTGGTCCTGCAGTGTCTGGATGTTCTCCTCCAGAGCCACCTTCGAAGCATCGTCGAGTGAGACGATGAGTGACCTCAAGACTCGTATCCAGTCGCGTAACTGCCGTATCCATAGCCATGGATGATTCCAGTCCAGCAGTATGACGATGAGCATGTGCGGGAGGGTGCGTGGGTTTAGGTACGGTTTGATCAAGGGTGTAAAGGAGGGCGAGGGGTTAGCGAGTAGATATAATGAGAGACGGGCAAGAGTGTCTTCAGTCGTTAGTATCATAGTCAACATGCAGAAACAGGGGACAAACCCTCATGGTCGGTGTCGAGTACGTCTTGGTAGGTGTATCCCAAGGCGAATTGATTCGCGATTGGCGGCTTTCTGCCTCGTTCTGGCGGCCTTCGGTTATTCGAAGCGTCTGTAGATAGTGATTCTAGGAACTCCCGCTGTGTCTCTGGCGTGCCACCTAATCCCCTCGGTTAGAATCTTTCCCCTGTGTTTCTCGTAGATGCGCATACCCAGGACTAGCAAGCTCTTCTCTGGTAATCGCTTTCCACTCGATATGTTGTCCAGCATAGGCTTCCATATTTCCTCCTTGTCCGCGTCACTACTGCCAGGACGCTCATGACTTGCTGGTGTCCGTGTAGGGAAATTGGAAGTTCGACGCGTGCTCATTGCGGAGGTGCTGCGGAGCTTTGGCGCGTGTGGTATGGCCCTCCCAGGTGCCGGTGATGTCTTGTTCGGTGATGAGCAGACGTTGTGGCGGTGAAACAAGCAAGACGCATGCGAGGAACCAGTCAACGTCTAGTGGGGTTGCGGTAGTGGTTTGGGGTGCATGTCCATGGGAGCTTTTCTGCAGGGGTTCTCCCGCTTGAGCCCTGCCAAGACCGAGCTTCAAAAAAGTATTGCGGAACTCACCTCCGCAGCTTACGACAACACCTCTTCCGCAAAACTACGACAGGATATTCTTAGATCGAAGAGCCAGGGGGAAAGCAGAAGCTCGGAACAGCATGTCTATC